CTGGGCGTCGAATTGTTGATGGAGATAGCTTGCTGGTTAACCGAGCCACAAAGTTTTGCTTGAAGTTCTTGGAGTAACTGGTGCTCTGTGCCCTCATAGTAGTGTATGAGCCGCTTAATTGTATTTCTTTGGGTAGTTTTGGTGTGGGTGTCGTCAATCAGGGCTCGAAGAATGCGCCAAGTCTTCTTTGTACTCAATGTTCCTTGAAGTTTGTCGCAGAAGGACCGCCAGTTCTGGCTCGCAAGGTTTTCGGCGTACTCCTGTGCCTGTCTAGTGAGTACGGCGATGCGGCGCTTCAGCTTGCGGTTGAGCTTTTGCCGTTGCCATCGTTTAATAAGCGATCTTCGAGCTTCCCATAGGTGAAGTAGATGATTATCGACTGCCGGATTGTCCTCGTTCAAGTGTATCGTTTTGGTATGTCCGTCAGCAACACTTACAATACTGTTTAACCAGGCTTCAATGTCTTCGATAGTCGAATCATCATCAAGCTCATTCCTGTAGGCGGTCCAGTCCGTGAGCCGAGCTCTTCCTGTCTTGAGCGAGCGGTGAGCCTGTTCGACCTCTATTTGAATTATGTGATGGTCACTCCCTAGAGTGTCTGGTAGCCTTGTCCATGTTGCGTTGTGCACGTCTCTAGTGAACGTGAGATCAGGATTAGTATCCCTCGAGACGCTGTTGCCAACTCGGGTTGGATGGAGCAAGTCATTCCACAGCGTCAGACCGTGTTGCTGCGCAGCGTCGTGAACACGCGCCCCCTTCTTGGTGGTGCTGTGATAGCCCCAGGCCGCGTGTGGAGCATTGAAGTCCCCAACCATGACGAGTCGGCTGCTGTTAACCATTTGACGGAGCTCGTGGACGAAGTGGTCGTATTGGTGTAACTGCTCCCACGGAGGACTGTAAATGTTGGCCAGGTATAAGCTTTGTTGAGTCATCCGAGTGGGGATTATCTCCACGATGGTGTGTTCGATGCCAATGTCTTCAATTTCATGAGCCTGTGCGGTTAGAGTCTTCTTGACTAGAATTGCGGTGCGGGGTGTGCATGTGAGAGTGCTGTAGACAGGGAGCTTGATTTTTTCTGATTGGGTTTCCTGCAACGCGATCATATCTGTATTATTTGTTTTAACCTATTCTTGCAAGTTTGCAGAACGAGGTCTGTAGGATCTGCAATTCGAGTGCCAAACTCGAAGAGTGGGGAGTGGCTCAGACTGCCTATGTGTGGGAGCTGCCATTCTGGCAGTTGATTCCCGCCTGGTGTCGGTCGTTTGATGCTGTAGATCGAATTTCCGCTGCAGTTTCATCCCCTAAAGTTTTTCGCTGTTTCCGCTTGGTCCCTGATTGCTCCACCAGCTGCTCATGGGTAACGAAATTTTTGTATGCATATGTTATGAAGTTATGCTGTTGTGCCATGAAGCCATCAAGCTTGGCGTCGAGCATGCATACAGTACGGGTCAGTGGGTCTACCTTTTCCATAATTTTAGTAACCACTTTCTCTATGGTTGTGTCTATGGATGCGAGGAGTTTCGCAGTGAGGGCTTTCTCGAAAGCTTCAAGGCGTCGTTCGACGAGGTCGAGCATCTTCGCTTCATGTGCTTGCAGCCTTTCTTCTACCCGCTTCATTATTCTGGCTTCCGTCTGTTTTAGTATGCTGTCGTCAAGTTCTAGTGTGCTACACTCGGCTGGTGGGCGTTGTTGTATCCTCCATTGTAGATCTTGGACTTTATTTTCTAGAGCCCGGATGGTCGCTGTCTGAGCAGGCGAGATGGTCGAGGCACTTGTAGCATTTAGAGAAGTGGGCCCGTCACTACCGGTTACCGCGGCGGCGTAACTGATTCCCCTAACGGAGCGAGACCGTGATGGCGTGCGGGATCCAGAGCGACCTTTTTTCTTAGAGCGAGAGCGACTTCGGTCAAATTTTGGGGGAAAAGAGCGGGCCCGTGAAATTTCTGCTGTGATAACTGACCCGGGTAAATCATTGGTGCAAGCACTCCAGTGATTCTCACGGGCACGGGCGTTATCGAGCTGGTGGCGTCTTACTTGATAAGGAGGGGGGTTGCTGCGGAGTTTCTTCTTGCATTCCCTTCCAGCAGTCTGATGGTCTTCTCCGCAGATCTTGCACATCGGTTGGCAGTCATGTGGTTCTGTGTCCTTGTCGTGGCCGCATTTGTAGCAGAAGTTCGCTTTCGGCTGAGGGCAGATGTCTTGTCAGTGACCTAGGGCGCCACAGGTTCGGCAATATTGGATGGACTTCTGGTATGGCTTGCATCGGTAGTCTCCACTGAAGTACGTCACGTAAAAAGGAACTTGCTGCCCGTCGAAAGTGATAACTGCAGCTGTGGAAAATCCCAGCATGCGCGCGCCGAAGACGTGGTATCTTGGGTCTACGCGAAGTCCTGCAACAATCTCTGTGGGGCTTGTTCCTGGTTCGAGGCCATAGATCACTCCGCGGCACACATCATCGGGGTGTCGAATGTGCGGATTCACTTGATATATTACTCCACCGAGCTGTATAGCATTTATACTTTGCAGTTTGGAAGCTCGTTCAGTACTTGCTATGCTTGCTATGATCACATTCTCTACTTTTTGCACCTGCACTCGCACATGGTCATAGAAGTCCTGCTGGGCCAAACCACTGGATCTTCCGATGGCATGTGTAACCTCGATGAGTGTTCGTTTTGAAAGATCTAGTCCTGGTTGCGGGCGGAATACAATTTTGAAGTCATCAGTAGGGAATGGCCGCATCCTAGTGCTGCGTTGACGTTGCGATTGAGATTCGGCGTCTGGCTTCACAGGTTGCGTAGCTCGTTCTTCGGCTGAGTTTTCTTCTTTGGCTGACCTGCCTTTACGGCCAGCTTGAAGCCACTCAATGTGGGCTTTGCCTGTCGTTTTGCTACTATTTTCATCAAACGTCCATTGTGATGCCGTTCTTGAATTACCTTCCGTGTTGTCCACTTGCATCGTACTCGGGTTTTCTTGACATGGGTTAGACGTCTGCGTTTCCATGAGAGCTCTTTACCTCAGACGCTGCGTCTCTGTGTTGCGCGAGCAGCGTGCTCGTGCACCTACGAGACGCTGGCGTCCAGCTCGCTTCGCAGGCCCGTCGCCACAGCGGCGTTCGCGTGCAGCGCGTCCTCTGAATTCCTAGGCGCGTCCCAGTGATCAGGCACAATATGTTTACAGTTCAATATCTAGTAAAAAAGTACACTCACTGCGATGAGTCTGGTGTAAAACGATGCCTTGCAACGTGAGGAATCCCAGATCACTAAACGCGAGCAGTGTCCAGGCAAGGTTGCACAGAAAATAGCAAAAAGAGCAGGAGCCCATGTGAGGTGCGACTACACACCTCAGCCCCCTGGCGGCCTTCCTCCCCGCCAAGGAGGATTAAAGAAAAAGTGCCTCCTTGGTACGCGCGCGTTAACGCTACATTGGAGTATAATGGGCACTTCATGATGTACTCGTGGCCGTTTCGCTAACTCCACATATACCAAATTTTGTGTTGCGTGACGTCAATGGATCCCGAAGTATGTGACTGGTGAAAACATGATAATCCTGACACGCGTACCATGTAAGAACATGACAACATACCACGCTCATAGCGTGCTCACGGCCGTTTTGCTCGCTCCACATACACTAGATTTGGTATCACGTGACGTGAATAGCTGACGAAGGTACACGACACATACGAACCTGATAATCATGACACGAAAGTCATGTACGGCATCATTTACCTCCACCTCGTAACATTATGTTGATTTTAAAGTGATTGTGTAAATTTTAAACCTTTCTCATTCGGGCTTCGCATATCACCAATTCCCACTGTACGTAGGATCTGCCAATTTTTCAATCAAGGAACTTGCCAGCAGACGCAGCCTGCTTCGGTGTTGCGAGGCGAGAAAGAAGGAAGCGTAGGAGAGAAGAGAAAAATCACGTGCATGCGCAATGGGGGTGTAAGCGGCGCGGGGCGGAATGCTTAAAGAATAATGAGGAGGAGCGAGTGTAGTTCAGCAGACTCTCCCTACGTCGGTGTTTCAAGACAACAGATGGGAAGCGTAGGAGAGAGGATAAAAGGGGAGCGGACGGGTGGTCACACCGCACGCCGAGTTAAGCTCGATTCAAAGCTGCTTCACATCTAAAAATTTCAAACGACAGTCAGCGCTGTGCCCTGTCGTGTGGTCCTTTCTTGTTTCTAGTTTTAACGCGACAGCGTTAAAGAGCTCGTGTCGCTGAAAACCTGCCGCCAGCGTTGCTCCGCTGGTTGTGACCGCAAAATCAAGTTACCGAGATAGCCGCGAGAGGCCGCTACCTGTCCACGCGTTCGCCCATGATCACACTGCAAAAGCCGCGCATTCGAAGAAAAAAAAGTGCTCAAGAAAACGAGGCTCGGTAGTTTCTTTGCCCTGCCTCCCCTCCCTGCTTAGCTTCCAGCGCTTTCGTCGGGACGAGAGTAGAAATAATGCAACTACATCATGCGACAAACGTTTGTAACTCCACTCGCACTCGACAGATTCTTAAATCTTTTGTGGCGTTGAATTCGTGAGGCAACAATTTCTTCTATTGAAGTCATTTAAGGTTACTTGAGAAGTGTAACAGGGCGCTTTAACGCATTTTGTTCGTTGGGTGTCACGTCGAAAACAAGACCATTCGGCGAAATAGTGCGGGCTGGTCGTGTGTGCGTTTGTGCGTGTTAGTGTGTGCGTGTTAGAGTGCGTGAGTGTGTATGTAACAAAACATACAAATAAGTATGAACTTAGCAGTTGAAGGATGCACTAGGGGCCGGATTTCGCTATCGCGTTCAATTCTTAATGACGAAACTAAAGGGTACCCCAATTTTTGACCTCGTTCTTGTCCCACCATACCAACATTTACCGTAACACTTCATTGTTAATGTTCTGTGTCGCATTTGTTATATTACCTACACAAGACACTTATTACAGCTTTCGTACGCCATCGTAGCCTACTTAGGGCTCACAGCTCTTCGGTTCAACGAAAAATATCGCAGTCACCTGATCATAGTTCTTGATTGCTCCCGACAGCAGTGGGTCGCAGTCTCTGTACCAATAAATTATGGTCCCGCCCGCAACTCCGATGACGAAGAAGAAGAATACCACGAACACAGAACTGACGACAGCTATTCTAAAGAAAACAAAAGATTACACAAAGTTCAATCATTAGAGTGCGGCTGCAGTATAAGAGAAAAAAATCACTTACCTCTTGGCGTCATGTTCCGACCTCGCAGCCATAAATCTCTGCACAACCATTTGATCGAATCCGACTCGAACAAAAATATACGGCAGACCTCCGATGAAGCAACTCCATATGTTTTCGTCGAGCGTCAAGTTCAAGCTCGCCCTGTGGAATAAAGGTTAAAATATATGTGCAGATGGGGTAAAAACACTTCAAATTTTTTTGCAATTTTTAAACACTTTCAGATTTCAAAGTGTGCTCGGCGAACGCCCGCATGTATTGAGACGGGGTCGGCGAGAATGAAACGCGATGCACGCGTATCTCTTTCTCCACGAACTGGCGCATATTGGCCAGGCTATACAGGGAATATGCGTGCACTCTATTGGCTGTCGAGGGGTGTGACCGACGTCGCCAACGTTCCTGCTATGCGCCGCCATTTGAGGGCACGGACGGATTAATGGACGGATTAATGGACGGACAGAAGTATGAAACATCAGAGGCTTTCGGTTTAAAAGGGCACCTTTGAATTCTCGTTTGCAAAGATACATTGCATTGGTAAGTGGCTAAATGTTGCCGAGAAATCAGTGAATCTTCCCCGTTGCCTAAATTGTAAATTGTTTTCAGAACTTCGCTATAGCTTTTAAATTGGTTATTATTCGCCTACTTTATGAATAAGGGTTTCATTTTGAAGATGCGGAAAAGTAAAGAAAAATAAAAGCCGAGTATGTTGCGCTCTCGTTTTGCCTGTGCTTACAATAATTGTATGCCAATTCTACCGGGAGCCAGATACACAGGGACATTGAGGCGATTGCGCTGAGGTCAAACAACGTTTGGCTCACGTGGTTAGAAATCGTTATCCACTACATGGCTACAGTGCTGCTGGACTTCGTCGCTTTTCTAGATCATTTTATTTTTCCCTAGCACCAGGTAAAGTGTTGCTTACGTATTGCCAATATTACTGAAAGTTTACCAATTGATAAAGCGTGTAAATGAATTTCTGGACCTAACAAAGTGGTTCATAGCTTGGTTCATTATGAGGTCTTCACGAGCCAATGTGTCTCAGTACCTACTTGTCTGCCCTTATAGCCCTGTGAATGTAGTGAATGTGTGAACGTAGTGTAGTGAATGTAGTAATTAGGGACATATCTATAAAGTAATCTCATTATCGTACCAACTGTAAATTTACCATGCATGCTCAGGTATTAAATGGCAATATCACGAAGCTTTTAGCAATGTGCGAGGAGGTGTGTAGTAGCGTTTATTTGTTTTATTACACTACACAGATACCGCCACATGCTTGCATGAAAAATAGGAAAGCATTACAATGAACTTCAGATAAGGTGCACACAAGTCAGCTTTACGAAGAACACACCAAAAGGCTCTTCTCTTCCCAAAAGGCTCTTCCCTTGCCAGTGTTGCTTACAGCTTAATGAATATATGTTTTCGAGTGGCTGCAGTACTAGAAACTGTGCACTTACATTGCACTGTGAAAAGTCTTATCAGTCTCCCTCTTTTTTCAATTTACAAGTTCTTTTGCACTCAGGAGTATGCAATGTTATCGCTTCCTTTTTTTACAAATACTCTTGTGAATATTTTAAAACGAATATTCTGGGTGGGCAATTTTCAATGCGCAAGATTGATCTCAAGTGTGCCGCAAACGATTCAAAGAAAATCTGCGGGTTATCTTGCGATTTAATGGACGTCACTTGCTACACATCTAAAAATTACGACTGGCCCCGCCGCGGTGGTGTAGTGGCTGAAGTACTAGGCTGCTGATGTGCGAGTCGGGGGATTGAATCCCGGCTGCGGTGGCTGCATTTTCGACAGAGTCGAAAATCCTGTAGGACCGTGTGCTCAGATTTAGGTGCACGTTAAAGAATCCCAGGTGGTCTAAATTTCCGGAGACCTCCACTACGGCGTCTGTCGTAATAATATGATGGTTCTGGGGCGTTATGCCTCACATATCAATCAGTATAATTATGACTGGCTTGATTCCACAAAAGTTGAGTTTCAGATTGTGGTTCAATTTTGCAGATTATCTGCGAAGACCAGGCATTTCCTCACTCTCAAAAGCAACAGATAAAACGATCACATAATTCAAGTTCAGAATACTCTAATTATTTCACATCATTTTATCGAGTTAACAAACCCATTTTCATAACCATTTATGTCCACTATATGAAGTTGTGTCACGTACTGCCTATATTATCTCTTTTCATTGATGAGTTCCCTCTAAAATGGGATTTTCATAATCAAATTCACGTTGCCCCTTGATTGACGGACAACGAGATTTCAATATTTCTCGCCTACAATATTACACTGCTGAAAATTAATACAAACTACAAACTATATATGAAAAGTATGATGATACTATAAAACATGCCATTTTAAGTCTCAAAGTAATTCAAACAGGTAAAATATGGAGATCACGTACTGCCAGCACACTTGTCCCAAAACAAAGCCTCAAAATCAACAATAAAGATTTTGTAGATCACTTACCTCCTCACGCAAGAACTTGAACTACCATTTTGTCATTTCACAACTTATCGTATCTGCGAATGGCTTTCTGGTTTTCAACGCATATCTCACCTGAACATGTATTCTGTCACGTTGAGATCGCTCATGGGCCTTAACGCTGGCTCTACATGGCTGGAGTCATATAGCACTTTCACAATTATTGTCAAGGGCGCTAGAAACATGACAAGAGCTTGAACACAGTCGGCCCAGACTACACCACGGAGGCCACCCTAAATGAAAGATAAAATAAAAGCAAGATAATTGAATATTTGAGTAAGTGAATATTTGAGTAAGTGTTTAATAAGCTGTTATCTTTTGGTTATTGATACTTAATTCTACTACTCGCATTGTTATGACCTAATTGCTGTTCTGTGACCTGACTACATTCTAGAGCGACTACTGCCCTTGGTAAATTAAAAACATGGGTAAAGAGGGTCGTTTCCGAAAAAAAATTGTATTGCTCTAGATTTTTCAGTTGTTCAATGCAATCAAGACAAATAGTTTTTTTAACTAGAAAGTTACATCCAAATCCTGACTTCATTTTGACTGTCATTAAAATACACTTGAACTGGCACTTTTATTCATTAGAGCCTCGTTCTAACAAATATGTCTGAATCAAAATTTTTTTTAAAAAAGCCAATACTTCCCTGTCCTGACTATCCACATATAAACTAGCGAGGTCTACCTGCTAAGTAAAAAAACAATCACAAAAGGAGGGCTTCGCCAATTTTATCTTTATCGCTCATCGTTAGTGCCCTCGTGAATGCAGCGCATGTATTATGCATAATATAGTTGCAGGTGGTGGTGGTGGTGGTGTTGCAGCAGGCGTGGTTAGCCTGGCCTGCATGGCCGGTAATTGTTCCGCCTGAGCATCTCCTGAATTTGGAAAGTGTCACCACGTGTCAGGCAGCCCAGTGTCTCGCAGGAAAACCAACAAACTTCGTTGCACGTTTCTCCTAGTTGCCGCGGGTCCTTCATGAAAGATGACGTCATCAACTGTCCGGTGCCTATGACAGCCTTTTCGCAAGGTGCGGATCGTCGCTTCTCTTTGCACATCAAACTGTGGGCAAAGCCAAATGAAATGTTCAATATCCCGGAGTCACCACGGAAAGCACAGAACGGGGAAGCGTATAGTCTTGAATGACCAGGCCGGGGTATATGCGGAGCCGGTTCTTATGCGGTACAACATCGTCGCTTGTTCACGAGAAAGTCCATGAATTACACAAGCTTGGTGTGGAAACTTGTAGATCGCCTTGAAATAATTGCGTATCACATCTTTGTTGTTCTGGTAAGTCTTGGTAGTTCTTACTTTTGGAAAAAATGTACGTGTTTCGCATGCAAGGGCATCAGCCTTTTCATTGCCCTCAATGCCAACGTAGGATGGGATCCACTGGAACATTATATTAAAACTCTTGCCATTTAGGTGTTTAATTAGTGCCAGAGATTGCCTGGTGAACTATTTTTGAGGTAGGCCACGATGCAGTCTTTGTAGCGCCGATTTGGAGTCCATCAGCACTACAACATCTCGTGCAGAAAAGGATGTTAAGTTTCGCAAAGCCGCCGTGATTGCAGCGCTTTCTACCGTTGTGGACGAAACCACGCGATCCAGGCGGCCCGACCATGACACGCCAAGGCAGGGTATGCAGAAAGCCGCTGCGCCGCTATCCGTTTGTGTGCACACTGATCCGTCGGTGTACACTTGTAGGTGGCTGCGGTACATGGTGCTCAAGGGGTCCAGCGCAAGAAATTTTGCTTCCGCGGCTGAAATGGTGCGCTTCGTTGGTAGATTGGGTACGCTGAAGTTACATGCAACATCCACAAAAGACCTTGGCGGGTTCATAGGGCGCCGTTTAGGCAGTTTCAAGCCTAAATATCGAATTGTGTTTAGTGCCGCGTTTAAATGTGAGCCAGTTCTTGCTCTTAGCCGCCGGAGAAGTGCCGTGCCTGCGAAGGACTCACCCAGTCTTGACAGCTGCGTCAATAAGGCCTGAGATGCCAAAAGGCGGAGCGGAAGAGACTCGACTTCATTGGTGACATTCGTGTTTGAAGCCGCCTGTGGGACTCCCATCGCCAAGCGAAGACCCTTTCTGTGCACTGTCTCTAGGCGTTCGAACTGGCTTGGTGATGGTGATATAAGGGGCAGCTGATAAAGAATGCGGCTTGTTATAAGCGCATCCTTCAATTTAAGCATGGACATGGGATTGTTGCCCCAACGAACCCCTGCCATGCGACGAAGAGCGTTGATCTTTTGCACTGATGCAGTGACTATACCATCAACCGCACGTCGCCATAATAGCTTGTTATCGATAGTAACGCCCAGGAAACGGACACTTGTTGCACAACGAATTGAGTGGCCTCGAATATTCAGCGACAGACGTGTTGACTTCCGTCGCGCTCCCGGGAAGAGCATGAAGGCCGATTTTTTCGCTGATAAAGATAGGCCAAGTGTCAAGTGACGCTCAATGATTGAAATAGTGCTCTGTGCTATCCGGGCCAAACGTTCGTGCTGGTACCCTGAGATCCAAATGCAGATGTCATCGGCGTAGATGGATATTTTAACTGCTTTCAGAGCTAAGTGCAGAGTGTCAGGAAGGCTGGCCATGACACCGTTAAAAAGCAAGGGAGATAGAACACTTCATTTCATT